TTACTCAACTTCTGCTGTCAGAAGATCACCATCATCATAAGAGCCTCTCTGTATACCTATATCATGCAATACAGCACAAGCTATAATTATATATAACTAGTATTTGTCAATTTTGACTGTAGTCCTAGCTGTAAACATGGAAATTTCCTTTTTCACACTCCGAAAAACCTTTAAAAAATATGCCTAGTTCTTATTTGAGAATAATTATAAATATTGTCAGCTCTTGTCATTGGATTTAAAAGTGTTGTTAACATGAAGTTAAGTGCTGGATAACCGCTGTCACCTACTAAAACAGGCATTTTCTAAATATCCTGCTGTCGTGTGAACTGCCAGGCCACCTAGTCACTAAAGCAAATATTTCCATATCAGGCCCTATTATTGCTTGCACATTTACAGAAAAATACCCTTTTTTATTTCTGTATGCTTCAGAGTGAGCGATACCTTTAGGTCTATTAATTTTTATATGGGTGCAGTCAATAGCTCCGATTATACTGTTTAGGCCATGGTGAGTATTCGATCTTCCTAATTCTTCAAACTTCGTTTTGGCTGTGTTCATATTTCTTGGAAAATTTACAAACCTAGGAAGTAATTTACTCAACTCGAGAGACTTTATTTATAATTAAACAGACTGTAGATTGGCTTATGCTGTTCAGATCACCACACACCATCTGTAATGTCAATAAAGTATTAGTCACATATATGTTATGTTTTGAAAGTCAGAAGACAAAAGTCTTCAACATATGTACTATTTAAAATCATTTGAGAAGAGGTATAATATATCAAATTGAAAAACCATACATATTTATGAACACAATATTACCTGAAAACATCCAGTTGCATTTTTATGCCTTAATGCAATAAGTATTTGCAATTGCGTAGGTTTGGCGATCCTCTGTTTTATAAGGTGCAAGTTTGTAATGATCAGCGTCAGGATCACATTTAATACCGTGTGTTTCAAAATACGGTTCCTTCTTTTGAATTCATTCTCACCGTAGGATGGAAGGATTTTGGTTTTATTAGTTCCGAACATAACAAACTTTAGGCATTGTGGATTCATATCGGCTGCAGTTCCTACCCTTTCAATGTTTTCTATTGAAGATAGAACTCTCTCTCTCCACCATATTTCGATATTGATATTTCCAAGCGGTCCATGTAAAAGCCAAATCACAAAACGTCAAGTGCTTCGGGAATGCGTAGGTCTTAAGTAGGTATACGATCCAGATTGGTCCAGGTCCAAGTCACAAAGCCAGTCGTTGTTTTGAAGAAAGATCAATTTAATAAATTAAAGTGGTTTAAAATTTTCAATTGTTGATAGTTGATACAAGTGCTCTGTTGCTGTTGTCAAAACATTGCGATCCGTTTACGTAAAATTATTGTCATCTTTAAATAATTAATACATTTTCTAAAGGTTACTCGTGAATTTCTAGTTATTGCAATAAAAAATAAATGAATACATAAATAACAATAAATTGAAGATATATGTGTACTGTTTTAGATTTTTAAATATTTGTTATTGTTAACTTTTTTAAAGGATAATAAACAAAGTATTGCATGAAATGAAACATCAATTTGTATTTTGACATTTTCTGTCTTAGCTTGGGCTTAGCTTAATCTCACCTTAAAATGTCTATAATACGAAATCTAGTTTAACCTTAGTGTACACTAAGCAAAGTTTTTCGTAAGGTAAGTCTGAGCAAAGTCCGTGCGACTTGATCTCACCCTTAATGTATGTGAAAAGGAATTCTGGAAACAAAATGTGTTAATAATTGATTATAAATATTTTTGTCAGACATTTTATATATAACTTAGAGATCTCTTTGTAAAAACTTTAGATTTTCCTTTTAAAAACGCGTTGGGAAACAAGTAGCTTATTATTTGTATGAGTAATTGGGAACTTCTAAAATAACCGGCTTAAAGGTCAGATCAAAACATCGAACTTGAATCGATTGTCAAGTGTCACTTATTTTTCTATTTGAAGCTAAACTCTGTTCAAGAATTGAATAATAATTGAATTAGATCTTAATTATATGGTTTTATTTTTCATACAAAGAAATAATAAACTTACTATGCAAATTTAATTAAAATATATATGGGCGGATGCCCTTTTATCATAGGAATCAGCCAGGTCTTCAATAAGTTGTAATGTGGGTAGGAACAAAAGAATCACCCAAGGCACAATCAAAAGTTATTAAATCACAAAGTATCTCCCTTACAGCAATTCACTAAAATCTATTCACTAGTAATTAGGGAATCACTTTTAATTTGTTTTAAAACAACACGGCACAAGATTACTCGGAACAAAAGCGATTCGTCGCAAACGTGGTGCGCTCGCCGTTGACATTCGAAAAACTAAACGAAATTCAACATGGCCGCGCTGACCATCGACACGACGCTCCGCCAGACTGACAATTGTCAAATCTCGTTCCAACGTATTTCTTAACAGATGGCGCTAGGTATGCGCCGTCATATATTTCTATATTATATTTTAGCTTTAATGAAAATCATAGATAATTAAAATAACGTACTGAAATTAAATAATAAGAAAAAAATAAAATGTTGTTTTAATTTTGTTTATAGTTTCATAATTTTTTTATATAAAACAAAACACCCAGTCACGAAGACAAACAATGACTTTTTTATCAGGAGTAGATATTATTTATATTAATTTTACTTCATTAATTTTTATACGCCAAAGTTTATTTTTGCACTGATTTAGAGATTGGTACAAAGAATAATAAACTATACATCGTTACCAATTATTTTTTTTAAATTTATTTATGATTAAACTTTAAAATTGTTTACACATATTTTCAGTCTGAAACTAGAAAATATTGTATCTTGTTTACAATTCAATATTAATAATATGGTTTTAATTTTCTTGTCTATTATTATAAATCAAGTATGCAATTTTATGTCACAGATAAAATTTATCTTGAATGAAAATGCCAGTAATTTAAAATTACGTACTGAATAATAACCAATTAATTAATTTATTCTCAACATTTTTGTCACAAATTGTGATGCAGGTAAAAGTTGTCGGAACAAACAGTACAAATCAATACGATATTGTTATATTGTTCACAAAGCGATAACCATTTCTTAGCGTATATAAGGAAAGTTATTCTTCATACCCGTCATTCTCCCATTGCAAGCCATAGCTTCGTGTGTAAAATGAGTTTTAAATCTAAAGTCGTAATTGTCACTGGTGCGAGCTCTGGTATTGGGGCCTATATAGTCACAGCTTTTGCCAAAGAGGGCGCCGACGTCGTTTTAGTAGCACGAAATGAAGAAAGATTAAAAAAAGTCGCTAAGGACTGCGAAGGTTTCGGCTGCGAACCACTCATCATTCCAGCAGACATCACAATCGACGATGAAGGGAAAAACGTAATCGCTAAGACAATTGAGAAATTCGGACGACTGGATGTGTTAGTTAATAGCGCTGGTAGGTTGCGAACAGGTCTGCTCGAGAAAGGAGACATAATGGAAGTCTTCGACGAGGTTATGAAGATAAACGTGAGGGCTGCTGTAAATTTGATGAAGTTTGCTACTCCACACTTGATTAAAACTAAGGGCAATATAATAAGTATTTCAAGCGTAGGTGGACAGCAGGTGTTTGCAGAGTACATGGCCTCCTACTCAACATCAAAGGCTGCACTTGACATGTTCTCTCGTGGTGCTGCTGTTGAACTTGGTAAACACGGCGTAAGAGTGAATGTTGTTAGTCCTGGAGCTGTATTAGGAACTAATTTAATGGGCAACGCTGGCTTTGATCCAAAATTAACAGCTGAAGAGTCAGGATTTAGATCTCTTCTAGGCAGATGGAGTGAAGTAGAAGAGATTGCAGATTTAGTTTTGTTCCTAGCAAGTGATAAAGCCAAGGGAGTCACTGGTAGCAACTATACGTGCGATAATGGTTACCTAAATGTTAAACATTGTTATAAATAAGTGTGTAGTTTTAAAATAAATATGAGAACAAATGTTGTTCAAATTTTCTTAACAAATTATTCAACTTATTAACTTAACTTACTTTAAACATTATGAAGCACCTACTTAATGGTTTGAAATTAGGATTTTACTTACTGAGGCTAATAGGAAAACGTGTATCTAACAAGAGTTCATTAATATAAACAAATTATACGGTATTTTGCTGTTTACTATTGTTCCTTCCTTTATTTTTACCATTAATCAATCAACTATAAGTTTTGCACTTTATTATTAACAGGCGCCCTTACCTTACGTAATTACGCCAATATTTATTTACTTAAATTAACGCCAATACCTTATGTTGCTTTCTAAATAAAACACAGCATTATTGAGTAATTCCTATTAAAAAAGTATCTTCAGGTAAATGTTATACAGTATTGGACGTCCGTCGTTCTACAACTGAGTGTTTCCGCGATTGATTGATTGATGATTGCCGCGAAGCACCACTATGTGAACCCGGCTGCTCACTGAAGAAACCGACTTAGGGTCCTTCAAGAAAACAGCGTACCATTTCTTAAAAGGCCGGCATTGCACTTGCGAGCCTCCTGGAAATGTGAGTGTCCATGGAAGGCGGTATCACTTAACATTAGCTAGGCCTCCTGCCCGTTTGCCTCCTGTTATATTCATAAACTATATAAATATATTTATCAAATATATACATATATAGTACCTGTTTAAAATAAAGCGTTGATAACAATGATTAATAATGATTAAAACAACATATTTTAAATTATCATGTGTATGTTAGGCACATATCTACATTTGTTTATTGTTTTTGAAGTCTGGAATATAAAACATAATATGATATTAACATACAATGCTGTGTTAGCAAACATACTTAATGTGTTTGTTTGCCTTTTCATTTTTGTAAGGATTTACAACAATAAAACTTATAAGCCAAAGATGCTTACATAATATTTTGTTTATATATGTATAAGCTTTGTTAAAATGTGATTGCTAATTATTTAACGACAATATGTATATGATAAAGGAGTAAAATTACTTTAGTAAAAAAATTACTTCATAACTAAAAGACCATTGTCTACAGTGTAATTTGAACCGGTAACACCAACAGCTTTGTCACTCGCTAAAAACAAAACAACATCAGCAATTTCTTCTGGATAACTCCAACGATTCAGGGCAGTCTTCAGTGTTGCCTTTGCTTGACCAATAGTTATGCTGGCACCGTCATATATCTCAGTTTTCACGGGTCCTGGACTAACTGTATTTACTCTCACACCATATTTTCCCACTTCTAAGGCAGCGCCACGAGTGAAGTGGTCTAAACTAGCCTTTAACATGCTATATGCTGCATAATCTACACCAAGTATCTGTCTACCTGCAACACCGGATATATTGACAATATTTCCTTTGCTTGCAATAAGGTGTGGGGTTGCCAGATTAACCAAATTCACCGCAGCTCGCAAATTCAATTTGAGAATTTCATCAAACGCTTCTAAGAAACTGCCGTCTATAAGACTACTCTTTCGAAGTATTCCAGCGTTGTTTATCAAAATATCAATTTTATTAAACTTTTTGACTGTTTCTTGTATGACCCTTGCCGCCTCGCTATCAATTGTTATATCTGCGTTAATGACAGTCGGATAACATCCATTTGCTTCACACTGCATGGCAACTTCGTTGAGTCTAGTTTCGTTTCTTCCCACAAGAATGACATCGGAATTCTTTTTTGAAAATTCAATAGCGATTGCTGCACCAATACCGGCACTTGCACCGGTGATAATAACAACTTTGCCCTTCAAAGACATTATTACCGTTGATCAGCGGCTTGAAAGCGACTGATTATTGTGATTCTAAGCCGTTCCATTTTATTTACTGAACCTATCCCAAAGTGTGAACTAAGCCATTACTATCTATTGTGTTTGTTTAAAATATGCATTGAAATCATGACAAACTTATTTTTATGATACATGACTTTCGATTCTTGCTTAGCAACAATAATATTGAAATAATTTTCGAATTCTTCGCGTATGACATCATATTAAAAGCTACTTATGCAGAGCTGGATGTATTCGGTAGTAGGCTGATTGATTTAAAAAGCGTTGTCAAGCGCTTATGGGGTCTAATCCGCTTAAGCGAATACGTATTTTAAATAAAAATTTGTAGTTGAAAGTTTAATATTTTTTATTTTTTGTAAAATTTATGTTCCCCGTAATTTTCATGTATTTTAGAATAGCTGGATGTATTATAATGTCGAAAATGTATTATATATCATGATAACCATAACGATAAAAAGGCTGTGGACCCTTAGGAACAGTGATTCAGACAGAGAACCAGGGGGATTACCATGAACTTTTTTAAAACGATCCAGTTGAGATGCTGATGAGTTTAGGTACCTAAAGTCAATAGCATTTTTTCGTACCATGACCGCCTATAAGCTGAATCGTATTAGCATCGCAAGACCGAATGAAAGAACGATAATTTTGCTAGTGGTTTCTATTTACGTTTAGAAATTTAGCCGTCAAACTTACTTCGACAGATGTTTCTATAAAAATAAATAAAATATAAAATTATTTTAAATAATTCATCAATCACAATAAGCTATTATGTCTTAATATATATATTTATTTTATATAAAACTATTCTTTTGTATATATATTTTAAACGGAAAGTTCTCTGGTGCTATGACAGTTGACACTTATTATTTTTAAACGTTTCCTTAAAATTTTGGTAGGAGCTTTCAATATTTTGGTGTTTACAAAATTTCGGTTTTATAAAAATAAATACCTATAACGAAGTGAATTACTGATATAAAACCCTTTGCAAAAGATATTACAAATCAACTTATTACTCTAAAATCATAAGTAACTATAATAAAAATTAATTCCTTCAAATTGTACAAACTCAATTTATACGTTAACTAATTCATATAATATAAATAATTATATTTTCTTTACAGGAAAGCCCCTCTTCATCTCCCAATACGGCTGGTCACCGCGGGGAATAATGACTACAACCTTCCATCTCCACTACAAAACCTCGATGTATGCACTTACAATGCAAAATCTTTTCTATCAAATGAAAGATTATTATTATGACGAACCACCAAACTATTCCAATAAAGGTTAATAACAGTATATTACAATATGTTTAAAGCTATGTTTACCTGGGTCAACAAGTATCTTTCTCAAAGACAAGACACGAAGATGAAGTTAAAAGACGTCAACATAACGTGGAATAAATCCTGGAGCAATAAAGAAACCCTTAAATCAGAATTTTAAAACTTAAGAAAAAAATAATGGACTCATATTTAATACATTGTCTTACATATGGCTTCCAGACATGGATTTACAATAACTACACCAAAATCAAAATACAAGTGTACCAGAGAACGATGGAAAGGAGTCTTCTAAACATACAAAGACAACATCAGAAGAGAAATACAGAAATAAGGAAAACAACAAAAATAATAGACGCTTTAGACAAAAATGGAATTGGGCGGGTCTTACTGCTCGCATGGACAAGGAAAAATGGACACCAAGGGTAACCTTTAAAAACTCAATATCTACAAAGTCGGTAGAAGGGCATTGCCGTCTTGTTTCTCATCTCCGTCGATATTTTAATAATTTATTTATAATCACACTCTAAGCTCAAAATATCGGAAATATAAAAATTATATTTTTTCCTATATTGGCCATAGTAGTAATTTTATTATTTTAACTTTATTAACAAGTTTTAATACAAATATTGAATTTTATAGGTTCTAAACTATTATTTGGACATTTCGATACAAAAAAGTTGAACGAAAAGTAACTTTTTTAGAATCGCTTATTCTGTCATAGTTGGAAGGCGCAACTGTCAAATTTCGGTCGGTATATTATTTAAGTTTCGGTAAAATAATAATTGAAAAATTAAACTTTTGTCATCGTTGAATCGACAAACCACCGAGCAAGACAAGCAGAGTATTCCAAATGCACGTGAAAAGGAGTTCTGGAAACCCTTGTACTGTCAATGTAATTATATAATTAAATGTGTGTAATTGATTATGAAACTTTTTATCAGATATTATACATACCTTACGGCCTGGCCACGGGGATCGGCGCTGCGAACGGCTAAGCAGGAGGCGAGGCGACCATTCATGCGGCGCCGTTTGCAGGCCACGCACCAGTCACGTTCGCCACCGCGAACTTCCACAGTAAGGAAGTTCGACAGCAAAATGTCTTTCTCGAAATTATCTCGATATTGCTTGGAAAGTAATAGTTTTTTGGTTCAAGACCTAACATTTAAAAGAGATTGTGGAGTACATGATTTAAATCAGAATCGAGGTATAGATGGAGAATTCCACAAAAAGTACGAGAAATACAGAATATATCCAGATTTTTTTTTTTTTGTATACCAGAATGAGTATTGAAACATTCGATTATATTCTTATGAATATTCAACCAGAATTGGAGAAAAAAAATAATGCAAATTTAATTTTAAGGACCTATTCTATCGCCAAACTCCAAAAAAGTACATTGTTTCTTTCCATTTTTCGTCATCGTTTCTTGAAGTAGGGCGAATGGAAAAAATATATGGTGGAGTTGAGTAGTTTATGTATCCATTTTAAAAGACCGATACACGATTTAAATAACTTCGCTCGATAGAAAAAAAATCCAAACATAGCCAATTTTTAACACTTTGAATTCATTTTATGACGAAAATGTATATGGAACATAATTTTGAAATTTACACGATATATTTAATCGCAAGCCAAGTAATCCATTTCAGAAAAAAAAAGATAAAATTACATTAATTTAATGTTTTACATAACTAATTGTTATTACGGGCCGACGCGACGCGCCTCTCCACTGCGCACCGCAGTCCACCCCGAGACACTGACACAGCAATTCGTGCTGGGATAGGGCCTTAAGTGCCGCTGAAAAATTATGAGAATCTGGAAATTTTATTTTTATTTCTTCCCACAATCTCTTCACTACATGCTTAAATTTATGCTGTGGATGTCCAGACTTCGAAATAGCTGGTCTAGCCAGTATTTCAGTAATAAAAAACTCTGTATTCATTTTTCGCCGTGAAAATCACTAAACTTATTTAATCCCTGCTCTATTCGCCGCGACTGCCGCTGGAGTCCGTGGCTCGCGCAGACCGCCGTACTGATTCATGCCTTTATTTCGCTCGCCCGCCGCGACGCCAGTCGCCCGCGCGATTCGCTCGGTACATTTCGCCGGTCGCATCGCCGATCGCCGTTGCGCGTGGCTTGATTAGTACATTGCTATGAGTTTATTATTTCAGTCGCCAGACGCTTCGCCGTTCGCACCGCGCGAATATTCGCATCGGCGAATGTCCCGTGGCCAGGCTGTTAGAGATAACCTTTTGTAAAATTTTAGATTTGCCTTTAAAAAACGCGTTGGGAAACAAGTGGCCAATTATTTGTCAGTTTTACAACGTCAAACTTGAATCGAGCGTAAAGTGTCACGCTTATCTTTCTATTTGAAGTTAAAGTCTGTTCAAGAATTGACTTAACTTAAAAATAATTCTTATCAATTCAATCTTAACCATATGGTTTTATTTTTCTTAAAAAGAAATATAAAAGTGTTTTTTTTTTAAAATAATTATGCAGATTTTACTCAAAAATATGTCCATATTATAATTTATCTTTAATGAATATTATGCAAGATAATTAAGATAACGTACTGAAATGTAATAATTAGAAAAATATAAATTGTTTTAATTTTGTTTACATAAAATTATAAAACTTTGTCTATACATTCACGATGACAATGGGTTTTTTATCAGAAGTAGATATGATTTATATTAATTTTACTGCATTAAATCATATTACGCCGAAGATTAGGTATTTTTGTTGCACTGTTGTTGGGGCGACGATTAAAACATGACTATCGCGCAAGCAATTAATTTTATCTATAATCTTCAAAATAGTTTTTTTCTTTAACCACGTAATATTCTTACACATATTAGGTCCTTACATATGAAATTGACGTTTTGCCGTACTGGCCACTTTGACCTCAAATATCTCCTTCCATTCAAATATCTGATTTCATCTTCCGGAATCATTAGAAACGGCTGGAAGGATTAATGATGTGTAGGCGGCGGTGTCGCAAAAGAAAACATAGTGCGATTCCAACGTTTTCGTTCTGGAAATTTCGTTCTGCAGAACAAGCCCCGTGAACGGCCGGAGACCAAAGTCGATAACGAAGAATTAAACACTACGTCTGAGGTAGCAGCAAGCTGCGGTGTGAGTGAGTGAAGCAAATCGACAAACGCGCGTCGACTGTTGCGTTAAATTACTCAACCTGCACAAAAACAATTTTAAATCGAATCATTACCTGTGATGAAAAGTGGATCCTGTTCGATAATCGGAAGTGCTTATTGCAATGGCTGAACCCAGCCGAACCAGCCAAATCGTGCCACCAGCGAAAATTGACTCCGAAAAAGTTACCGATACCGATTACCATTTTTTTTTTCGAAATTTGGATAACTTCTTGCAAGGTAATAAATTCAACTCTGATGGAGCAGTCGAAACCGCCTTTAAAGATTTTATTGATCCCCGTCCAAATTGTTTCTTTTAGTAAAGGGATCAATGAACTACATGGTACATACTTTGATTAATTAAATATATTCTATTTTAAATAAATCTACTTTTTGTTCCTCCTATACAATTTGCCAATTTCATATGTAAGGACCAAATATTTACAGTCTGAATTTAGACAATATTGTGTCTTCTTTACAATTAAATCTTTATCACATGGTTTTGTTTTAAATAAAAAAAATATAAGTAAAATTAATT